GAGAAAGATGACATCCAGGTAGGATGTGTTTTAATGTAGACTACAGCCGAGATGAAACTTACCTTGGTCTTAGAGAAAAGCTTATGGGTAGAGAGAAATATTTAGTCTATGGAGTGGTGGACATTAAGTTACACTTTCAGCGCCATCCAAACCTCAACTTATGGGCCTTGTATGATCTCAGGAACACTCACAGCTGACTCAAAAAAAGAAGGTATCCGTATTTAAAAGCTTGAGTTTCCCCCTAGAAATGTTCTGTGTCTTGACTTTTGCAGGAAGGCAGGATATTTTTACGCTACTCTTTTTCTTAGCAGTACTAGAGATTGAACCCAAGGCCTTTGCACTGAGTTACATCCTTTTGTATTTTCAGACAGGGTCTTGGTGAGTCATTAAGTTGCCCGGGCTGGGCTCAAACTTGCGATCCTCCTGCCTCAGCCTTCCATAGGACCGGAATTACAGGTGTGCACCACCGGTGTGCACCACCACTCCTGCGCCTGTCACTTTTATCTTTGCTTGTCTAAACTCTATGGATGGAGAAGTCAAAAGGAAAGAATCATCTAATGTCTTTGTTTTTAATTCTGTTCTCTCATAGAAGAATCAATAACAGATAGCATCCACTATTTCTTGGAATGGGACAATACATCATAAATATTAACTTTGGAATAAATACAGTACTGATATTAGATTTTGTTATGATTGCTGTGGCTGTAATATATCCACTTGTAATTGGATACCAAGGAAAGTAGTAAAATCAAAGGAATATAAATTTGACTACTTAACTGCTTAGATTACAATGATAGAGTTGAACTATCCCATCTCCTTGGTTTTACTTTACTGTAGCCAAACAATAGGACATTGAGTTACTAGTCTCTTTAGGTGAATTATCCCAACTGTCGTGCTCACTTGGAGAACTCAAACTTCTCATATGTTTTAACAGATTTCACAGAAATGTTTCTTTCAGTCCTTGCGGTTCCATTTGTATTCCTGAATGCAGAACACTTTTATTATAGTATGATAACCTTGCCCTTGACACACTAAGGCGGTAATGTTAATCTACCATAGCCAAGAAATTATCTAAAAGCATTATTTTTATGTGCAAAGCACTGTACTAGGCTTTGGGGGAATGAGAGTTTGTTTTATTTTGTTTACAAAAATGAAGGCCAGGTGTGATGGCACACACCTGTAATCCCAGCACTCGAGAGGCTGAGGCAGGAGGATTGCCAGTAGTTCAGTGACACTCTGGGCTACATACCGAGGCCCTGTCTCAAAAAAAACAAAAGAAACAAAATTAAAAATAAGCCATTTGGGGGGATGGGCCCCGCCTACCTGGGTGGCGAATATGAGCATCAGGCACAAGCATCAGCATCAGCACCCAATGCCCCGGATGACGCTGGATGGAGTGCAGGATGCCACCTCTGGGATAAGAATCCCCAGGGACACAAGAGTTAGGGCAACGGCACTCCGAAAGAGTCTGTCTTATTCTAACTGAATCCCCTCCGTTAGAGCACAAGGCCTGAAGTGGCTGGATGTTCAATAAATGTAAAGGGTAAGCTACTACAGAATCAGTATCTAACAGCAAAGAATAAAGTGCTGGGATCAGTGGCCTGGAACTGCAAAGCAGAAACTTCCTAGGAAATGGGATTTGAGCTGGTCTTGGGATGGGCAGGCGGGGAGGCCCTGGTGCGAAGCAGAAGGCAGGCAGCACTGCAGACCAGTGCCCGGCTCTCCTGAGGCCCACAGGAAAGAGGGCGCAGGCTAGTAGCTGTGAAGGTCCCAGCTGTGCGAGCCCTGGGGACAGAGCTCACAGACTAAGCAGGAGGGCAAGCCGGACAGCCGGGTGGGTGGGAAGGTTACACAGCAGGGACCAGAGGGGCTGCGAGTTGTCCTGAGCCAGCGAAGGGTCTCCAGCGCACTTGCAAGGGCTGGTTTCCAAGAATGTACACGCGTGTGTTTCTAGGTCAGCAAGGAGGCCTGCCCGAGTGGGCTACGAAAATGGACAGGAGGCAGAAATGAGAGTATTCGTTTTTGTTACGGAACTCGGCACCAAACCGAAGAGAAAACGCTCTGCAGCAAGGAAGGCAACCAACTTCATTACTCCAGCAGGCTGATGGGGGATCACTCCCAAAGCATCAGCCCTGAGCTGGCTTTGGAGCCGGCTTTCATAGGCTTTGTAAGCAACCAGTACAGAAGCTTGAAAGCATGGTGAATTTCCACTGGTTACCGCCGGTCATCTCTCGTTGCTGGGCAGAAAGTCTGTGAAGTAAGTGAGTAATAGTGTTGGTCATCTCTCTTTGCTAGAGAGTACAGGGTGTAGGTGACTGCGGCCAGACTGAGCTGGCCCAGCACATCTCCAGTGTAGTCAGTCAAGTCAAGGCTGAGTGAGTCTAACAGACCAGCTGCATGGCGGGCTGCATGCTCTTACTTTGTCCTAATAGGGTATCAGACTACTAGTTGATTTTTTAAATTTTTAAAATTTCCATCACAGTTTCACAACTATTTTTTGATAGCAGAGTGCCAAGCCTATTGCTATGTGTGTGTGTGTGTGGGGGGTGATGAGCAGAACCCAGTTTTCTTGCTCTAGGGGTGAAAACTAGAGCGAAGGGAGTATGTAGGGGGTGCTGGGTAGCAAAGACCAGGGGACTACACAGCCTGCAAAAATCAGGACAGACCTGGACAGACAGTGAGGTTTTGGCTGGGCAGAGGGCTGGAGAGGGAGAATCGGCAAGGTGCATTTGTGTGCATGTGTGCATAGGCGTGTGCATGTGTATGTGTGCAGCTGTGTGTATGCATGCATGTAGTGGGCGTATGTGCATGTATGTGTGTGCAGGCATGAGTGTGCATGCATGTGCACCACTGTGAGCCTCTCACCCTGTAGACAAGAGACCAATGTGGCAGCAGGGGTGGACACGGACACAGCTCCCCCTCCCCCAGCTCCACCCACAGCACAGCCGATCACAGCCAAACTCCGAAGAGCCAGAGAGAGCCATGGCAGGCGGTTTCCTCCACTTCCTGTTCCTAGAAAGTATTTAGCAGCTAGGTATCATGCGCTCTGACTATGCACCAACGTCAACTAAAGGTTGGACAGAATCAGCAGATAGTTTCTGAATCCCTACCTTTCTTATTAACCCGAGTTTTTTAAAAAAGTGGTTAATTTAGAAATGTTTACTCGTCGGCACAGGTAAGCAACATGTCTTTACCTTCCAAAGCACACTGACCCAGAGCCGTCTCAGCACGCTGCTGGGATCTATCATCTCATCCGCCCCACCACCCTCCCTGCATCTGCGAAAGGCAGGAGCAGGAGGCTGTGGTGGAACACTGCAGTGAACAGGGCAGAAGGTTCCTCACCAAAATCCTGGATGACCAGTGGTCAACAGACTACAACACGCAAGCCCAGCCTTATTGGTGTTCACATGATAGCTGCCAAAGCCTCAAAGTCCAAGGCACCAGGGAACAATAAAGGTGAACAAAATCCACTTGAACGTAACAGATTATGATTTCCTTTCTCCACAGCTGTCTTCTAAAGCTATACAACCCAGTCAGTGCTCTATAAATATAAATGATTTTAAATAAATAAAAAAACCCTGACCCTCCGGGAGTCTACAAAGGCTGATAAGTAAGCATCTCGTTGTACTGAGGTGTCCCAGGGCCTGAGAGGTCATCGCTGTGGACAGCAGTTGTCCAGGTCCTGCAGATTTGTGGAGCTGTTGCCAAAGTTTGAGGACAAAAGCCCCCGGGCTCTGGGGATCCCAAGAAATCAGGATCCGCCACGATCCCGAAGTGCCAGTCAAAGAGAGAAGCCAGCATCGAAGGGAGGACAGGAGCTTTCCTCAGTGTGGCCCGGTGCACGGATGCATGGAGAGGTCTCAGGGGCTGACAGGAGCCTTGAGGTTTTATAGAAGAGGGAAACAGAGGCAAGGGTCAGGGGTCTGCACAGCTGCCAAGGTGGGTGACGCCGGTCACACTGTAGGCTGGCTGATCACTCTACCCGGACTGGTTCTGCAAGTGGCTCTGGACTGGTCCTTATGGCTGGAGGGGGCAATCCGCTTCCCAGGAGTCCATGCTCCTGCTGGGGGAGTGGCCTCACCCTGGGGTGACCGGGTCTGCAAGGCTCTGCTCTTCTCGGAATTCCAGGTGACTGCAGGCTTAGGGCAATGACTGGAGACTTCTAGACACCGCTCTGAGGTCTGCAGCCAGACACTGTAAAACCCGCCAAGTACATGTCCCTGCGCACCTTGCCTCAGTCTTGATGGGCGATGAGACAGCTTAGGGAAACCAAGGGCAATAAAGCTCGTGCTACCAGATCTTAGACACAGGCCCTCCTATGCGGATGTGCAGAGCTGGGGAGAGGCCTGACCCAAAGGCTGAAGGCATAACGAAGGCAGACGTGCCAAGCTTTATTCGCTGGGCATCTGCAGGCCTTGTTACAGAACTAACAAGCAGTTGAATTTTCAAACGGCAAATGTATTAGGCAGGCCTGAGAGAGAGGGACGGGGTCCCAAAATAACGCCTGGTGCCAGTTAATAAGCAACTGAGGCTTCGGAGCACAACCCCTTTATCACCACGTGTTAGGTCTCAGACCCAAAGCGACCTGCGGAGCACAGTGACACCTTAAGGTCACACGCTGTGCACAGTCCTTCTGACACCTGGCCGCCTAACTAGAGCAGAGCTTTCCCAGAGCCCAGTGATACAGGAAAGGGAAGGTTCGGCAAAGACCTCCTGCCCTGGCTGGGCCCTGTGCAAAGGGAGACCTTAGCTCCCTTGAATGTCTTTCCTAAGCTCCTTACCTGATCTAGAAAGCATCTAAGGATGGAAAGACAGCCTGCAATTCCAAAGTAACTTCTAAGTACAACCTTAATCAACATTCCAATTACTGTAGCTTCCCGGGCCTCAGCAACAGCTCTTGAGCACATGAAAATGTATCCAAACTTGCTCTCAGGTCAGAAGCCTTTGGGGCGCCACCTGCCCACCTCATAGCTTTCTTCCGACTTTACAGTCTCCTCTACCTGTACTCACGCCAGCCGCCTGTCTGTCTTGAGCGGATCCCTTCATCAAGGGCACGAAGAACAGAGCTCCAAGGAGTGTGGGGCTTGTCCCCGCGGTGTCAGAACCCGGCTTCCCTTCGGGTGACAAGTCCCCAAGTCTCTTATGCCAACACCACCACCACGAGAAACAGCAAACGTGAGCCCATATGCTGGAGGAGTCTTTCCTTGTACGCGGAGACTGTGGAGTAAAATTCCATCCTGTAAACGCTTCATCTCATTACGCGTCTTAGCCTACTCCTGTCAAGAGTCAGGGCAGAAAATTCTTCAGGTTTTTATTTGGTGTGCAGAAAAACTGCATCTTGTTGGATGGCTAGATTTTAGCTCATCTTCCTCCCCCAGGACGGGCTCTGTTCTACAAGCTGGGGTGAGTTCACCTCCCCTCCCCTTTTCTCCCCTCCCCCCTCTCTTCCCTGTGGCTCCAATTTTTCCCAGGGGCTGACATGCCCGGGGGTGACAGGTACTGGCTGGTGGGGGACAGTCTTAGGCATTAAGGTGAGCATTCATTTCGGAATCAAGGTGCTACGAGTGTGCTGAAAATAAGCCCTTATGAAAGTTCCACTCTTTCGGGAAGAGCTGACCCAATCCATTTTAATACCACACATGCAGTATTTCTCCTTAGTCATCTGAAACCTCCCACTGCACGTAGGAGCGGCCACCGGGTTCCACGTTCATAAACCGGAGAAAGGACTTCCACGTTGGTTTTGAATTTTTGATTGAAGATTCTGAGAGACACAGCTGGATTCCCAGCGAACGCATGCCCTAAAAAGATAAGTTGTTGCCTCCACCTTCAAGACTTTTTAAAAAATAGATTATTTTCCTGCTAAATTGCATTTTCCCCGTCCTCCAGAGCGGCCCTGAGGGATCCGATTTCCTTCTGTTCTATTGTGCCGGCGTGAACGCCTTTGCAATTGAAAAGGAGGCCGCGGAGGGTGGCGGCCCAGTCAGCAGAAGTTGCACCAAGCGAGGCGGCAGCGCTGTGACTGGCGAGCGTGCTAATGAGGCCAAGGTCGCAGGTTCAAGCCTGAAAAGGCAGACACTTCAGTCAATTCCCTGCCTGGGAGAACTGCACCCCTAAACGACTGCAGATTTCCCAGACATCCAAAGATGTGAGGCTTGGGATGTGGCTGGGAGCGCAAGTCCCGGGGAGGGAAGCGAGGCTTCGAATGCCGCCTCCCACAGGCCTGGAGCAGCCCACGCCCGGCCAGGCTGGCCGAGGAGGCAGGAGGGCTGGCCATGGGAAGTCCAATCCGGGGGTCTTCAAGGTCCCCCTAATTCCTGGTGACGACTAGGCACACAGACCCGCATTCACAGGCAGACAGCCAAGCCCACCAGGGGCTGGCTGTGGGAGACACAGGAAAGGGATGGGGGGTTGAGACAGGGTCTCACGATGTAGCCCCAGCTGGCCTAGGACTCACTGCCATCCTCCTGCCTCAGCCTCCTGAGTGCTGGGATGACCGGTGTGCAGCACCACAGCCAGCGGGAAATTGGATTTTTAAAAAATCAGGCCTGCCTTACACATGGTCAGATCCAGCATCCCTGAGCTAGGAAGTACTGAGGTAGAAGAAATAAAGACAGGTAAAGAGAAGGAGAAAAACTGAAATTTTGGAATTGTGCTTTGGGGGAAAACGACAGCTTCACAACACAAAAGTTACTTAAGCCTCTTTTCCTTCCGGGAAATGCACTCAGAGAAATTCCTCAGGGCCTTAGAGGCACAGCAAGCTTGCAGACCCAGCTCCCAAGCAGTGCTTTGCACCTGTGCGTGATTGTATCAGGGTGCAGGGGCTCTCAGCTTCTGACACAGCCACCGGGTGAGCGGCAGACACGCGTCATAGGCCACCAGTCCTGAAGACAGCAGAGGACAGCCTGGCTTCGCTTCATGGGACGTCTCTCTCTCTCCAGGTCCCGTGTACTGTTTCTAGAATGTGTGCTGTTAAATTCCTGCCCCTAAAACCCCTCTATGCCTCTTACTGATGCCCTGGAAATCCATTTCCTGCAACCTGCTTCTCCCAGGGAGGGTGGGTTTAAGGCTCCCAGGGCCTCGGCAGGTGACGGTGATCTCCTCCACCAAGGCAACTCCGAGGAGGTGAGTCCTCCAGGTGTAAAGGTGGCTTCTCACTTGTGCCTGCCTCTTTTCGGGGCAGAAGTGATCTAAAAATGTGATTCTTTCTTCATTTTTATTAAAAAGAAAAAGGGGAGGTGAACCTAGATCCAGAGAGGTACGCGTAAAAGCCCACAGCAAAGCAGAAACTTCCTCTCCTTTCCTCTCATGCGCTCCAGGTCTGACACAACCGCTCTCCTGAGCTCGCAGGTGGGTTTGCACGTGTGTGGCTTTGCACACATCCTTCGGCCTGGGGATAAACCCACACCTCGGAGCCCAGTCAGCATCGGAGGCAGCCTGAAGACAGCTGAATCCGTTCTTCTCTTCCCTTTTCAAAGCAATGCACTAGTTTGCTGAATTACCTGCTGGGGCAGGAGGAAAGCAGAGGAAAAGAGGCCATAAAAACTGCATTCATACTCAGGGCCTGTCAACACACACCTGTAATTCCCAGCACTCCGGAGGCTGAGGCAGGAGGAGCGCCACGAGCTTGAGGCCTGCCTGGGCTACACAGTGAGTTCAAGGGCAACCTGCACTACAGAGCAAGACCCTGTCTCAGCAAAGCAAAGCAAAACAAAAGGAAACTGCATTCGCTCAGGAAGACTTAAGGGACAGACTGAGTCCTCCAGGTCCCGTAAGAAACCCCCAGGTTTCGGTGAATCGAATCCCAGGTGACGCACTCAGTAGCTTCAGGCTGACAGAGGCACAGAAAGAAAGTCTCAGAGTAGGAATATCTGGCTCATGCCCCGCGGGTCACAAATCCAGGCCCTTAGGGCCACTCAATAAATGTATGACCAAAACCAGAGACGGACACGCGGGAAACGGCTTCGCCTTTTGAACACTCGTTTCTTCCTATGTAAAATGGGACAAGGCCCTGTCTACACCAGCCATCCTTGGCAGGATCAAAATAAGAACATATCTGCCAGTGCTTTATAGCTGCAAAGAGGACGCGATTGAAAGGGACGTCACTTTCTAAGGGTCTTCAGATTTTTCTGACGGAGAGAATTCTGTGCCACGCTTTCCGAAGGGAAAGGTGTCAGCTGGAGTTTTAACTCTTCAGGGTACCCTGCTGGTGCTGCCGTCCCTTTCATCTCAAATTGCATCCACATGCGAGGCTTGGCCCGTCACTGGGCCCCATAAACCAGAACAGAAATTCTATTCTGCATATGGAGGAGCCTCGGCTCTCTGTCCATTTGAAGTCTTCAAGGTCAGATCTCTGCTGTCATTCAAAGCACCATACGGGAGGTAAAGCAGAGCAAGGAGTCAATATCCTATGTGGAAAATCTGAGCCAGGCCTGGGGGCACATGCACATAATCACAGCACTCAGAAGGCTGAAGCAGGAGGATCACTGCGAGTTCGAGGCCAGTCTGGGCTACAAAGTGAGTTCAAGGCCAGCCTGGACTACACAGCAAGACCCTGTCTCAAAAATCCAAAAGAGCTGGGGATGTGGCTCAGTGGTAGAGTTCTTGCCTTGTATGTACAAAGCTCGGGGTTCGATCCCTAGCACCACCAAAAAAAAAAAAAAAAATCCAAAAGAAAATTGTGTTTTCTTACATTTCTGCTGTAAAATATTTGCTTTGTCTCATGTTAAAAGGGTGCACTGAAGTTAGAAAGAAGGTCTTGACCCGTGTGTCTGCTGCTGCAGTTCCATTCTGTGTTGAAGAAACACCGAAAACAGACCCGGGACCCCTGTGATTATTATTATTCTGGGGACCCACAGTGCAGAGGAGATGGGTTAGCTCTGGCCAGGGGGCCCTGTTGGGGGGCATGTGACTCCTTCCAGCACCCCTACCCTAACTGCACGCCTATAACTATGTCCCAGAAACTACAGTGTTTAATCCCAGGAAATATAAAGACAGCTGACTCTTGTCCTCTTTAATGTAACTTTTTAGAGGAAATGTGTATGTTTTTACTTTGTTTTGTTTCTGTGGCACTGAGAATTGAATTCAAGGCCTTCACACTGAGCTACAGCCCCAGCTCTCTTTTTCCGTTGTTTTTTTGTTTGGAAACAGGGTCTCACTAGGTTGATAAGTAGCCCAGGCAGCATTTGAACTTGCAATCCCCCTGCTTCAGCCTCTTAGAATACTGGGATTATAGGCCTGTGCACCATACCCAGCTGTGTTGTGTATATTTTATTCTTCCATGCACTTTATAAAAATATACCTGTAGGGGCTGCCTGTTAGTGCACCTGTCCAATTTTTCATTTAGAAAGTGAAACTTTGAGGTCATTTCTCCTCTATGATCCTCACAGAGTGTTTTCAGATTAACTGGGATCACAGCAGCTCCGCAGACAGGGTCTTTTTCCAAAGCATAGCTTCAGCAGCTTGGACCAGGGCTCCTTCAGAGAAATGTAAGAAACAGGAGGCTGAGACAGGAGGACTGCCAGGAGTTCAAGGCTGGCCTGGGCCACACAGCAAGAACTGGTTTCAAAAAAACAAAAGAAAATATTTCATAACTCTTAATACTGATTAAAATCAACTAAAGATTATTTTGCCAGCTTGGAACAAGAGGAAAGACAAGATGAACACTGCTAAAGAATAAACCTGGAGGACACTGGGGGAAAAGCTCTTTAAATCGCTTACAACAGGACATCTTAATCACAGTGTTCTGCTCACACAAAACATTTCAGTTTTTAAAATAACCACTCTAAGTGAACCAGACATGGTAGAAATTCACGGAAACTGAGTTCTCCCAGCTTGATCGCGAAGCAGCCCCATTGGGCCTGAGATCTCCCCAGGCTTAGAGCCAGTGAAGGAGGCAGAACTACAGTCTTGCCTTTGAGTGACGCAGGAGCCCCGGAGAATAAGGACGGCGGGGCGGGTGGGGATGTGCTGGCCAAGAAGCCACACAGGTGCCAAAGGAATATTCGGATGAAACACGGGTGGCAGGGCAAACGACACCAAGTGTTCAGAGAGGTCAGCCTCCGACTTTGAAGTGTAACTACGTCTTTAAAACCCTGCCACGGAAAGCTCATCAATGGCCAGAACGTGTGTACAGACAAGTGTGGGCGTGTTAAAATGTACCTAAGAAGGACAGCCCCCTGGAAAGGACCGCTCCAACTGAGACACCTGTATTTTATTTAATTAATTAATTCTTGAGATAGGGTCTCGCTACGTAGCTCAGACTGGCCTCAAACTCACAGTGATCCTCCTGCCTCAGCCTCCAGACTGCTGGGCTTACAGGCGTGCTCCACCACATGGAGCTGACACGTGTGGTTTAAGAAGCTGCCTTCTAGCAGCTGAGGTGAGATACACATTTCCCAACCATCATCCCCCAAGTGAAGAAAAGGTGATGCGAATTTACACCGCCCAGAAACAAGTCTTTGAACTGTCCTGGCAGTAAGAAGCTGCTTGTATGGAGAACGAAGAGATTCCCCATTATTTTTAGTTTATAAAATATACTTACTTCTGAAGAAATCATTTTTTCCCCCTCAAAATGAGTAAAATTTTGACACAACTGATACAACTTGGGTGATGTCGGGGGGCTCATTTATCTGAAGCACTGCTGTTTAAACTTCTGGCCCAAGAAGGGCTGGAGCAGCCTGCTATCAGGCATGCAGCTCGCGGAGAGGCAATGGCTGGTGACCGGCCTGCAGAAGCTCATGTCGGGTTCTGCTCCTCCTCTGAGGCCTTGGTGTGTACCCCGAGTTCCCCTACTAGCGCTGTAGGACTCACATCTCCTCGGTCCTATACGAACAGGTGACCAAGAAGCGGGTGCCTCATCTACTCAGTCTCACCACGACTTACAAACGCATCAGCTTTAACAGCAATCAGAAGGGGTCACGAAGATATTTCTAAACACATGCGTCTCCTGAGGAGTACCGCTTCTATCTCACTTTAGTTGACTGCAATTGACGCTGGGTAGAATCTGAAGCTCACGGGAGCTATGCAGACAGCAGCGCAGGAGCCCTAGAAGGGGCCAAGGCATGCCAGTCGTAAAGATGCACAGAAATAAAAGGAGAGGGCAAACTTTGTCCCTTATGGCAGGACAACCGAGGCAGAATGATTTGTGAAGCTGCCGCCGAGTGATATTAATATTCCAGGTTAGGGGCGTGCAGCACGCACTGTAAAGACAGCGGAAGAGAAGCGCCACTCAGAACCTCTCCCTTCTAAAGCCAGAGATTTAATGATCTCTGACTCATCAGAGCACAGGACTTGCAGGGCCACCTGCATCCCTACTATGCGCCCGCCGCGCACTCTCTCCCTCGGTGGCCTCCGGGCGTCTCCAGACCCCCACCGGGGCCCCTTCCGAGCTGGGTGACCTGCTCCGCTCCTGCACGCAGACACCCACGCTGCCGCAGACTCCCAGCCGCAGCGAGGCTCAGAAGATCAAGGGACCAGTCGCAGCAGCCTTTTTAACTTTGGGAAAACCCAATGCTCACTTCACTCAAACGTCGCAAAGTGGTGCCATGACCCTTTAGCTCCTAGCTCACCAATTCAAAGAGCCACATCACATACAGCCCTTCGGCTGCCCACGGCATGATTCTGTGTCTAGTTCCTTTCCAGGTTCCCCCCAAGCGGAAGGCAGTTCTGGCAGGGAGTCTGGGCAAGATTACTACCGTATCGTATTCAGCCTTTGTCCCTTCCTTTGCTGGGTCTTACTGTAGAACCAGGCGCGCAGGTCCCGCAGACTGAGTGCTTCAGCGGAGGCTGGACTTGAGACCTCAGCGAGCCCGGAAATCTCCATTGCAAACATGAAAAACTGAGGTTCAGAGGTCCGGCTAGCGTCAGGGTTAGGGCTGGCAAGGTCCCTTCCCGGACAGCAGTGGTGGCGCAGGTACCAGCCCCACCTTGGTGGATTTACTGTGCATCCCGCCAGGTGCCAAAGGCAGCGCTGAGCCCCGGCTTCCTGCCCTAATGAATGGTGTGAACAAGTGCATGGTGGCTGAGGCAGGAGGATCGCTGCAACTCACATAGTGAGTTCAAGACCGGCCTAAACTACAGAGGCAAACCCTGTCTCAAACAACAGAAAGGAACAGAACAGAACAGGAAGTTTTGTCACGTGCAGAATGCAGGCAGGCAGGGCTGGAAGGGTGCTCGCCTTTCACTCTGAAACTGGTCCGATCCGTGCGTGGGACTTTCTATGGACACACCCTCCCTATGACAGGGACGCACAGGAATATGGCACGTTACCAGGAAACACCGTCTCAACGGTGCATCTTGCCCAGTTCCCCCGCCCGCTCCCGCGCCGAGACTGTTTTCCTGCGTGCCCTCCTTGCGATGGCCTGGGGACCCGGGGAGCCCCTAAGACCCGGGCCGCGCCAGCAGGAAGCTGCAGCCTTCTGGGAACTTGCAGGGCTGGACGCTCAGCCCCGGGGTGACGGGGTCGGCGGC